GGATTAAGAGGGCTGATCCGTGGGTAGCTACTGGTACGCAAGTTGGGGCCTGATCACCCCCGGCTGGGTCGCCTGGGCGAGGGTGTATGATGTTGTGAGACCCGAAACACCTGATGACCCTAGGATACATCACTGAAGATGCGTACCAGTGCATCCAGGAGATGTGTCTTTATAGTTTGCAGCTTAATCTAATTCAGCATCTCTTATGAATTTTTCTGTAGCTCAGGCGGTAGAGCAGGTTGGTGGTTCGATTCCTGGCTTCCCCTAGTCTGCATGCCAAATATCCTTGGGCAAGATACTAACCCCAAATTTCTCTCCGATGCATCCATCGGAGTATGAGTGTGTGTGTGAGTTAGTTACTTAGAAAGCACTTAGAAAAATGTGCTTGTGCGAATGGGTGTGAATGGGTGAATGCACAAGTTGTGTAAAGCACTTTGAGTGCTCAGAAGAGTAGAAAAGCGCTATATAAGAACCAGTCCATTTACCATTCTTCCTGCAGTATTTTAGTAATACGATCAGATGATACATAATTGTTTTGTTTGTTTGGAGATGGTGGAGGATTACAAATACCCTAGTGCTCAGCAAAAGACTCATTCAGCCATGAAGCGCCACACAATGCCACAGGAAAACATTACTAACTGTAACCATTAAACAAAGCAGCTGCTTTGTAATTCTCAAAGATGCAAAAATACAGCTGAAAAACCAAAAGCCTTGATAACAAAGGTCTTCACCCCAAAACTGGTGTATTGTAATAAAAACTGTGATTATTCATTCTGAACCATTCTTAGACAGCAATAGGTCAGCCAACTATTTAAGAAGTAGTAACATAGTATGTAACCAGCTAAAATGAGGTTTGCAAATGTGAACAGAGTTGACTACTAGTGGCATATTCCTTTTATATTAATTGCAAGGCATTGTATGCACTAGATTATATGTAAGTAAGTAAGTAAAATTTATTTATATAGCCCTTTTTATAGATAAATAAAATCAGAAATAAGAATAAAATAATAATAAAAACAATAAATAGAAAAAATAAAACAAATTAATTAAAAGCTTGTCTGTATTGAAATCTTCAGCTGCTTTTTAAAAGAGTCAGTGGAGTCTGTGCAGCGTAAAGACAATGGACAAGAATTCCACAATCTTGTCTTGGTGCCACTGCCTGAAAAGCCCCATCCCCGTGTTTTGAACCTATTACACGAGACCAAAAGCAACCTCTGACCTGAAGACCTAAGTGCTCGGGAACTGAGTGGGAGCTGAGCACTCCTAAAACTCCTAAAGAACCTAGACTGGCCCTGCTCTCATCTGTGAAAATTACCAAATACCTCCTGCCCTCAAAGTCTTGTGCTTTTTCCACAAACTAACCACTGCATGAACAAAACTGACAATGAACAGATTGTCAGTTCCAGTGTGTGATATGAACCATATCCCACAGCGTCCTCTAATGTTGTAGTTACAACCGATGTGACAACCAACATTTGTTTTTATGAAACACTTTTGTTTAACACAAAATAAAATTAACTTAATCAGAAACGTTGTGCAAGGTAATTAAGTTTTAAATTATATTTTATAAATAACTAATTAAATGTATGTATGTATTCATTTTATTTTTCTGAAATATAAGTGTAAAAAGGAGCACTATATTTCATAAATATATAGTACCAACAACAGTCGCCTCAAGGTAGTTTGACACTAACAGTAATAGGCTTATAACATATCAGAAATATATTGTGGGCCTAAACCATTCGGTACTTTGTAAACCTACAGGAATATTCTAAAGTCTAGCCACTGGAAAGTCACACTGCCCCAAACAGACATTCCTGTTGACAAAACAGGGAAAGAGTTTGTGTATTTTCACGCTTACATATTGGGATGCTGAACATGACTGTTACTGGAAGATTGCTTGTACAACTTGTTATAATTTATCTTGCTAATTAAGTCCATCCATCCATCTTCTTCCGCTTATCTGGAGCCGGGTTGGGGGGGCAGCAGCCTAAGCAGAGAAGCCCAGACCTCCCTCTCCCCAGCCACCTCCTCTAGCTTGTCCAGGGGAACACCAAGATATAATCTCTCCATCGTGTCCTGGGTCTTCCCGGGCCCTCCTCCTGGTGGTTACATGCCCAGAACACCTCACCCAGGAGATGCCCATGGAGGCATCATTGTCAGATGCCTGAACCACCTCAACTGGCTCCTTTTGATGTGGAGGAGCATTGGCTCTACTCTCCCCTCCTGGTTCAGCCCCTCCCGGATGGCTGAACCTCTCACCCTGTCTCTAAGGGAGAAGCCAGCTGATAGGTTTGTAGCATACACCTATTTGCTGGAACGTTCAAGACAATTTACTACACAGCAAAAAGCAAGACACAAGTAGGCAAAGTTCTTTGTGTTACTCATGAGGGAGACCTGCCTGGAGCCAAGTGTCGTTCCACCCACTTGACCTCCATCAGACTCTCAGCCAGGTTCCCCATAGCACTCCTTTTATTGTGGTTACATGAATATGCATAGGTACATTAACATATGACATTTCATATAGGTATACATGTGGACAAAGAATACCTTGTGTGTGTGTGTCGTGTAAGTATGTGTGTGTGTGTGGGCGGGGGGTCAAGATGTGACCCCGTGAAGACTCCCCAAAGCTGGTGCCAGGAGTCTAGCGTATCTGAACAAAAGGCCCTTACACTCAGACAGATATACGTGTGTTTGCTATACCATATATCAGCAAGAGAAGATACTACCTCTCCTAGGAGGTGTGTGATCTATTTTTAATTTATAAAGGATAAAAATGTTCCTCTCTAGACCTATTTCATAAAAAATCATTCCATTAAAACATTAAAAAAAAAAAAGCTACCTGACCTCGATTTATTATTTCATTGCATTGTCATTTACAACATTTCTTTGTTATTCTTGTTTAAAAGTGTTTTACAAAAACAAGTTAATGTCTGATAAGTATAGATAGATGCAGAATTGATTTTCCTGTAACTGTGAAAATAGATTTAAACTAAATATGACAGGTTTAGTGTAGATCGTGGATGTCAAACTCCAGTCCTTGAGGGCCAATGTCCTGAAACTTTTAAATGTGTCCTTGCTGTGACACACCTGAACAAAATTAGTAGGTCTTTAGCTAGATTTTAAAGAACTTGACTGCATAATAAGGCAGCAATTCAGCCATTTGATTCATGTTAGAGCAGCTCATGAGTGAATGAACATGGTGCAATAAAAGTACTTTCAGAAGTATTGGGTTGGCTGTAGCTAAGGAGCAGTAGTACAGCAGGTCAGCTGCTGACTGGAAGGTTGGTGGTTCGATTGCTGGCTCCTCAAGTTTGTGTGCCAAATATCCTTGGGCAAGATACTAGATACCACTTTTTTATGTCCGATACTGATATCATAAATTTGGATATTGGCCGATACCGATATGAATCCGATAGTGTTTTTTAATCAATAAAACTGTTTTTTTAATATCTTGCTGCATTTTGTATAAGTTCATACTCAAGTTTAAA